GGGCGGGTGGTAATTAATAATTTAAGAAGAAGAGCATGAAACATGGAGTAGACTCAGTGGAGTAGAGAAAAAAAAAACTAAAGATTAAAGATGAGGATTAAATAATTAATGAAAATTAACAAATTAAAGAAAAAAAGTAACTACAAGTGTTTTTTGGAGGATGTGATTTTGTAGGAATCGAAAATAATACTACAAAAAATCGATTGCTTCCGTACTGAATAACATTCTAATTATACGTGCCAAACAAAGCTTTAAAGATGAAAAAAAAAAAAAAAATATGAAAAAATATCGTAATAACGAAAAACAAACCGAAATGCGATTGTTTAATGATGAAAATGCTTTAGGAATTTCAGAACAGTTCAAAGAAAATACTTATGATGAAAATTGGGGCGCGGAAGGTTCTGCTAAATACGGACATGGACTGAGAGCAGACAGGACAGGAACAGGAACAGACAAGGACAGTCAGGAACAGACAGGAACAAAGAGGAGTAGACAGGGACAGACAGGAACAAAGAGGAATAGACAGGAACAGACAGGAACAGACGGAAACAGACAGGAACGGACAGACAGGTATAATATGTCCTTGCTACAAAAAAAGAAATGCAGTTAAAAAAAAGGGCTCTGATAGTGTTCCAATGATAATTTTTCGGAGACAGACACTGACAGACAGACAGACAGATAGTGATAACAGACAGAAATAATTTCTGATGTCTGTGTCTGTGTCTGAGAATTGCCGCAGAAACTTTCAGACCCCGATAATGATTATAACAATGTCGAGGTTTTATTAATGTAATTAACGGCAATTGTAGTTCGAAAGGTTGTGCGATTTAATAATTAATTGAGTAATCATTATCAGTCTTTTTTGACATGTGCAAGACGACAGAGTTCATTTTTAAAAAAATACTAGAGACTGGGTGACGGTTTGTTTTTACCTTTGAAAAATACTGAGGATATAGTTTTTCTTTAATTTTATTTTGGTAGATCCTCGGGAGATTAATTGTGGGGTAATGAAACACGGAGGGAATGATACACTGGCATAAACACACATTCACGCACAAACTAAATGAATTAATTAAAATGAAAAAAATTAATTGTAATATTGAAAAATAATAGGCACCAAATAAATTGGTTTGCCCCCCATCGATAGTTTATACCTGTCTTGCGGTTATCTCGACGTATTAACGAGGGATAGGGGGATAAAAATAAAACCAAAAAAAATGTGACGCAACTTTTTTTAACCGTAGGGTATATAAATATACATTATATATATACAGACATATATATATTGTAAAACACCGAAGTGTGTGTGTCAGTCTATGTTTATATACGTGTTTTATATTAATGAAAATGATGATAAAATTAATGAATATTAAATAACGGAGATTTTAGGGGTGGATAAATTTTGGAAAAATTGTAGGGGGAAGGGGAAGGGGTCATTGGTAATTTGTCGAGTGAGATTTTAGGGGTGGTGTTGATTGTTGTTTATTTATTTAAACAATAGACATTATTGAGATTAATTGGAATATCTTGGGACGTTTAATTCTCAGTTATTTTTCTGGGGAAATTTCCCTGGGGATTCAACGGAATTATCCAGATAATCACACTTTAAAATCTAACGAATGTTTATTGTTTGATTTAATGAATTAACGGTAATTAACGATTGGTACACCCACGCACACTTACATACACACATATACAGATGAAATGATGAAACATAAAAATTAAGGGGTGATGTTGGGGAGAAAGAAGTTTGAAGTGTACAGAAAATTTGACATTTCCTTGAAGCAATTGTTTTTTTATAAATTAAATAATTAACACTTCAATTATTATTTATTTAGAGTTAATACACTTGTTGATATTTCTCATTTTTGTAGATAAAACTCACATCGAAGGATTTCCTTTTGTATTCTACAATTTTTCTACGTTAATTTTTTATTTAAACAATTCGCAAATGTATATTTTAGTTTTGAGCGATTATATCTCGGTTTATTGCACATTCCGCAGTGCCAATTGAATTAATTTACCGTGTCGACCGATAACTCAAGGAGCCAGGATTAAATAAATCATTGAGGCAACAATATGGAATGGACAATTAATAAAAACATTGATAAAAGCCCGTGAGGAATAAAAAATACGAGCTTGCGATGAAAAAAATGTGTGACAAATCACACAAACGGATGCGACTCGATTATTCGTGTTGATGATTTTTAGATTAAAATGAAAAATTGATAAAAAAAATTTGTGAAGATACAAAACAATGAGTCAGGGCACTGGTTTTTTTACTCTATTGTAATTAACAAATGACGATAATAAAAGCTATTTGACGAGTCAAATAAAAATCCTGAAACATTTTCTGCTGTTGTCATTATTTTATTCCCTAATCCATTTAAATAATTGAATAATTCTTTGCAAATTAGTTTAATTTGCAGTGGATTTTTGGGTGGGAATTGTAATTTAATGATATAAAAAAAGATAATTTGTCATCTGGGATATCTGAACTTACATCCTGCGTCTGATAGGACGATGAAAAAAATAGGATACCTCCTCATCTTCTGGGATCCTGTTCTACATCTCCAATGGCCTGCACATATTGAGGATTTCGGGGTGTCGTGTTCAATGGCAGTCGATAACAGGCCTAAAAACATCGAATACCTCTTCTGTACTCCTGTGCTCCTAATACAAAACTCCCCTTTTACGGTAAATTTTGACGAGAATGAAATCCTATTTTTCCCATTTGTATCAGGAGCACAGAATAGCCGAGGAGGTGGCGCGGTATTTCAACGAATGCGCGGAAATTTTACCCCAATTTTACCGTTTTGTATCAGGAGCGCAGAATAGCCGAGGAAGTGGCGCGGTATTTCAACGAATGCGCGGAAATTTTACTCAAATTTTACGGATTTGGATCAGGAGCACAGAACAGCCGAGAAGGTGGCACGGTATTTTCCACAAATTTTCAAAATTTCCCTCCAATTTTATCAGGATCACAGAAAGACTGAAGAGATATTCGTATTCATGAACTTTTGTTTATAATTTTCCTATAATTAATTTAAATTAATGGGGAAATAAATAAATAAAAACAGCAACAATTAAGTACAATAAGGCACATTTTATTGAGGCAATGCTACATTTACAACTTCCTTTCGCTCACAAACCAAAAAAAAAGTATCTATTACTCTAGATAAAACAAATAATTAACTAACTAAAAACAGCACATGAATTCATTTATCGTAATCCTTATCCTCGTCGCTCTGGTGTTTCCTTCTGGGTAAATGGAGAGTAATCGGTTGTGACTCTCTCTCCTCCGGCCTCTGCTCCAGGTCCCTCCTGACCATTATTTTGGCATTGGGCACATGTTGCTCTGTAGTCCAGTCGAAATTGAAGACCGGAACTTCGGAGTGAAGATCAGCTGAGTCTGGCGTATCCACTGGGGTTGAAGGGGTTGTAATGTAGGGGCTCAAGTCCTGATGAACGACATCTGGAACCCTCTGCAGGGTGTCCGACCAGATTGGCGATGATGTCCAGTGGTCAACCGTCTCCGTTGGCTCCAGTATCATTCCACCACCAACTTTTATCAGTCTTTTGTGGACTGATTGACGTTCGGCGCATGCTTCCCCGTAGGAGACGTCCAGGTCTGTTATATATTTTGGTGAATCAGGGGGTGCGTATTGACGACTATGGAGGTAGTGCACTGATAGTTTACCTCTGAAACATAATACATTTTTTAAATTAAATTTTCACCGGCAAAAAATATAATTGCTCCCCTCCCCTCTCTGTAAAATTCAAAAGAAAATTTTATTATTATTATTATCATCATTATTATTATCATTATCATTATTATTATCATTATTATTATAGAAACTAATCATTTTTTTATCTCCAACTTTTTTTTTAGAAATGACCAATTATTTACGAATTAAGGCCCGGGTAGACTATTAATCGAATGTCATCTTTTGTTTAAATTTTATCTCTTTAGCCTAAAATACATATATTTTAGGTTGAAAAGAAAATTTAAACAAAAGTCGACGTTCGATCGATAGTCCACCCGGGCCTTGAAGTAAAAAAAAAAATTAAAAACATACCTGTACCCTCCAGATTTCTGCATAACTCGTCCATGCTGCTGTGGATGATGCCCCTGATGATGATGATGGTGATGATGATGATGATGATGAGCAGGATGATGTGGCATCTGATAGAGATGCCTTGCCTCGTGATCACCACTGTTGATGGACATGTCAACAGGTTCAATGTCCTCAGGTCCAGTGGTCACTTTAACAGCACCTGGCGCTGGATAATCAGCCTCGTAAGAACCTGGTGATGACTCCGAGGGATTGTGGGTCTGCATTAAAACCGGACGTGGATATGTCTCCTGGTACTGAGAGCCGTGCGACTGCTGGGACACAGCGGATGGACAAATCCCGTACGTGAATTTCGATTGGGATGAGTAGTTGTACAGCCATGAGCTCGAACGCATCACCTCGGCTTCCTTGTCACTGTAATTGTGTTATCAGTTCGTCAGGTGGTGGATCGTTGCCATAATGGTGAAAGGTATTTCGTGTTGGACACGTGGCTTAAAACTTTTGCAAATTCCATTGTAGGAGATTACATTCGGTATTAAGTAAAATTACATTTTCCGTTTTCACCGCCGAAAATTCCGGGCGATAAACAAAATTTATGATTATTTATTCAATTAATTCTATGCGATTGTTTTTGGATTTGGATTTTTCAACGTTTTCTCCCACAGGAATTCCAGAAATTTTAATAACAATTCCATAGAAAATATTTTTGTAAAAATTTCCTAGAAGGATCTTCAGTCGTTATAAAAATCCGAAAACTCTCGTCGATTTCTAAAATCTCTACAGAATTACGAAGAATTGTGAATTCCCAAATGAATTATTTCTACAAAAATAAAAAATCGGGGAATTCTCGCAGAGAGATTTATCAATTTAAAAAACATACCTTAATACTTGATTTGTACAGACGATTATCGGGTGCTGGCATTCCTCCGAGGTTTCTTTCACCTGCAGAACACAGTGTATCCAAAACCAACGCCCTGAGCTACTCTGCAGTCTCAAAAGAGCAGTACTCGTCCGATCCTGATCAGATTGAATCACTGCAATCAAAAAATTCTGGATTAATTATTTTACTCTCAATCACTCCATTAAAAATATTGAAAAATCCCTTTTAAAAATTCTCTCAATACTCTGAATCTCTTCAATCTTCCTATAATTATCTACATCACATACCCCAGGCCTGTTAATTAAAAGTTATTAATAATTGAACAATCAATCAATTTTTTTCTCATGTAATTACGACTGCATCACTGATATCTCAGTTCTCACTATCAAAAAATGATTACATGGGGATGGTCTTATCACTTTATTCCACCTAATTAACCCCTGCCCTTAATTACCACTTTGGTGCTTGCAGTAAGCAGTTCTAATGCAGTCCCAGTGGAGTAGATTATACCAGGAGACACCCACCAGCTCAGACCTATTGTACTCCAAGTGGCTCTCAGCCCTAAAAATCAGAGTACAAAATCAAAAACTCAAAAATATATTATTTCACTCGACAGTAATATTTTTCCCCTAATAACCTATTTATTTTTATCACTGCATTCAATTCGTAATTGCATGCACCGATTTATTATCACTACTACAATTCAATTATCAATATTATTAATATTATATTATATTATATTCCCATTAAAATTATACCACGAATAATTGAACTGTGAGTTATAAGTTGAATTCAATGATAAGATAGAATGAATCATTCGAGGACTCGATGTAAATAAAGAATGACACACCCGCGTTTGGAAGTCCTCGAAAATGTAAACAGAGAATATAAACAAGATCGCTGGACATTCGGAAAATATTTTCACGTGGATGAGTATCTCGTGTGAATCTATTGAATAAGTACATAATAGTTTGAGTAGTGCTCACGTTTTATCGATGTGGAGATATTTCATATCCATTGAGTGAATTGTAGTGAATATATTTGTCGCCCCTTGTACTACACTCTCTCGGGTCTCAGGAAGAACCACCGGTGTGCAGGACGCCAGGAATACTGCTTCATTTCGATTACATAAAGGTACGAAGGGAAGATAATGACCTTCCACAAGCACCACCTGTAAATAAAATTGTTCATTTAAAATTAATAATAAATTGATAGGCTTTTCAGAGTTTCAGACGTTCGTTTCAAGAGTTCGAAAAATGTAATGAACGTTTCGGCCATTAAATTTATAATAATAATATTATTTTATTATTATTATATTTATATTCATTTTTATATTATTAATTAATTAATATTTGATGCATAAATTAATAATAATAACAATAACAACAATAGTAATAATATTATCAATATTATATATTTTATATATTTTTGTCAAATAATTTGATATCTACTGCGCACGGAGTTGCGCAGAATTTGAATTTCGAGTCTCGAATTGACCAATAGGGAATGAGTCTCACGTGTTTCGAGATATCTTGACTCTCGCCAACTTCAGTTGTGTCTCTGATTTAACGTTCAACATACGCGGAGAGAAAAATACATAATTATTTCGTGTGAGTCCATTAATAAATTAGTGTGCTATTCACAAACCCATGGGACCAAACCGTGGTCAACAAAAAATTCGGATGTGGCCCCCCAATTTTTAAAGGAGTCTCACGGAAAAGTAGCGTAAGTTCTTCAAAAATTAGGGTGCTACATCCGAATTTTTCGGGTGGGTCATTCGAATTTTTTGTTGAACCACAGTTTGGTCCCATGGGTTGATGAATAGTACACTAATTTGTGGTAGAATTTTTTCTCAGTGCATGAGATGGTTAAAACGTATATTGTATATATTTATTGCTCATTCCGTTATGTAAATTTTATTTGTAATGTTTTTTCTATTTTCAGGTGTGACGAATGGTGGACGTACCTTTTGGTCACCAAATCGCAACTGTCGGCGTGAATTGCGAGAGACATTAATTCTACAGAGGAATAATCTACGATCATTGCTGGACATTGGACCACTCCTCGCCAGCTGATTCTGCACAACCATGTGATCCTGTTTGTCAATAACATCGTAGACACTGTCACCATGAATCAAGAGATCCTCCATGGAGTGTCCCAGGTACTCGGCAGCATTCTCAGATATGTACAGTAATTTACCCTGTTGTGTCATCATCATTATGAACCCGGACATGGCCTGAAAATCGTCATTCATTCAATATATCGAGTACTTGCATGTCATTGAGTCTAATCAACATCAAATGTTGATAAAAAAAATTCAGTATCAGAAACTATTTCTATAATTATCATTTCATTGTCTCATTTCTTTTTATTTTGGGCCATACGAGTGAATTAGACATTCACAACAATTTTTTGAATGATTTTTTGGCCTGTCTACTCCGAATATATGATTTGTCAATTATTTTTCATTTTTTTTGTACAGTATATTCTTTGGAGTCCGTAAAGTGAGACTTTACGGATGGAGTGAGTTAAAACGAATTTTTTGGTAAAATTTATCTCAAAGATCTTCAAATAATATTTTCATCTCGTTCGACATCAACTTTTAGTTTACGTCCCACCAATCGGCCGCAAAGTCTCACTTTTCGTATCGATTATTTTCTCGCCTCTGACACTAAAAACTTACTTTCGAAAATCCAATATTTGGCGTCGGTATGTTCGACTCCGATGAGCTATTCTTCAACGCTAAAAACATACAAATAATTCCCTTAACTCGACAAATAGCCATTCAAAATTTCACATGAGTCGATCCATAAAATTCTCTTCGACTCAAACGTGC